ATATATGAATTTGGGGGAGACTTGGGAACCTCACACTATGACACCTGCCCTTGGCATTTACATCCTCGAGTCTAGTGCTTAGAGCTTCAGAAATAAAGTAATTCACTTTGTTATTAAGGACCCTCAGAAAGACTTAGGGAAAAGGAAAAACAATGGTGTAAATCTCTAGGAGCTCTTGCCTGAAAATCAGCGTCCATGGTTTCTAATCCTCATTTCACCAATGATTCACCTGATTTTAGAGCGATTCTTGTCTCCACTCTCCTTGTGAGGTGAAGTTTGAGCAGTTAGTTTCCAAACATCCTCCACTTCGAAGCTTTCTCTTCCATTTTGGAGCTAAGTTCGTTAAAAGTACACCAGTGTCTAGTTATTGTCTCAGTGCAACATGACACTAGTAGTTCAGAGAGTCCAGAGCCCAGTATGCTGAGTTTATGAGTTAAGGAGAACATGGGCAAATAATAACGGCTAAATTCAAATGTGGCCAAACATCATTCTTCCTAGAGAAATAGCTCGGTTTATTTGAAATAGAGAGTGGCTCGTCCTTTATGATGGGAAATTTCTACAAGACAACTTGATTGAGAAAACGAACAAAACTCTAACTGATGAACATTTGGTCCTCCCCACCTCCACCATTTGTTTTCCTGCTCTTGCAGGTTCTTCACCTGCCAAGAGCCTGGGATGCTGGTGAAGGTTGTCTATCAGCAGAGGCCTCTACACTTCACACAATTCCAGACAAAGACTAGATAGATGCTCAGATTTTGTGAAGGGTTGCTAAAAACTCTGCATCAACACCGTTTTGGTCTGATTGTAAATCTGTAGCAGATAATACAATCTGTGGGAAGCAAATGCCTACCACAGTTCCAGAGCTGCCAGGCAACCCATCCAAGGTTCTTGCTTTCCAACACGGGAACCAGTTCACTCACTCTCTCCAGCTCCCACAGCAAGAGGTGCTGTGCTGTTCTGAAGATCAAATACAGTACAACGTAGAGGAAAAAAGCTGACAGTCTGTGTGCTAAATTTCATACCCCTAAATGGGAAGGAGTCCAATGACTCCAAATTCTTAGACTAAGGACTCTTAAAACTAGTTTTGGAAAATGCCTGTTAAGACCTTAGGCAAAATTTGCTACTTTTTTTTTCTTTACATGCAAAATGTTAAAATGTTTGAGTTCAGCCTTTTGCTTATGCACAGGCCAAAGAGGTAGTTTGAAGACAGAAGTAAACCCAGAAGTCACAAAGATTGAGTTCTAGCCCTGACATTTTCATTTACTTACTGCGTGACACTGCAAAGGTGTCTCACTGTCTCAACCTGATTTCCTCACCTACAAAATGTGGACAAGTACAGTGCTCATCTCAGCACTAATATCCAACATACGTCACAAATGAGATGACATGGACACTGCCCAGTCAGAGCAGAAGCCCACTGTATCCAAAGTGTATATGTAGGCCACTGAGTCTAAAGTTAGAAGGGTGGCTCTCAAGGTTGATTGTGCAGATTGGATGAGATCATGCATGGAAATCCTGCAGCACAGTGCGAGTACTAGAGTCGAATACAATAAATTTTATGCATGATTATTTTTATTGGTAAGGGATAACAAATAACAGAATGGTCCCAAATGATGGTGAGTCCCTTGCAGGCCAGGGACACAGCAGTGAGGCTCCCCAAAGCCACCTTGCTTCCTTGGGAACAGAAGGAGCCTGTCAAAACAGTGCTCTCAGTTTTGCGCAGTGGCAGTGTCATAGCCAATGAGGTTTATCAGATGCGCGATTATTGCTAACTGAAAAACAGTGCTCAAAGACACATGCGTGTCAAAGGCCACCTGGAGAGCAACCACATTTGCTGATATATTGGAGGCCTGTGCCCCAACACCTGTGTTCTCTTGCTTGACTCTTCCGCATTCTTTCACATCCCATACGAAGTCCATGGGAAATAATACGTACTCTGTGTGAGGGAGCTCCCCATGGTTGGCCTGAGAAAATGGAACCCAGATCATCCTTTCTAACTTACTCTTTGAATACTGGCTTTAATCCCTGGAGGCCCAACCT